AAAGTTAATAAAGTTCATAGAGCTTACTAGGAAATAAAATTAATAAGGCTAATACCAAAATTAACTTTATTAACTTTATTAACTTTATTAACTTTAGCAGCCTCCGTTGCTCCTCCGCCTCCTGGCCTCCTCCGCCTCCTCCCAAGCTGGAGGCTACTAAAGTTAATAAAGTTAATAAACTTAATTCCCGAAATAACTTTATTAATTTTACGAACTTTATTAACTTTATTAACTTTAGCAGCCTCCGTTCCTCCTCCTCCTGGCCTCCTCCGCCTCCTCCCACCCTGGAGGCTGCTAAAGTTAATTCAGTTGGCTCTGGAATTGACTTTATTAACATTATTAACCTTATCGCCCGCCGTTCCTCCCCCTCGAGGGCCTGGTGATTCTGTTTATCAACCCCAGAAGAAGTTAATAAAGTTAATAAGTTAATTATAAGCCCCCTGGGGCCGCAATCCACTCCAATCCTCCCCCCCCCCCAGGAGGCCCCCATCCTCCCCCGAACTTGGGCGGAGGGGCCTGCTCTTGCTCCTCGGGGGGTGTCTCGTCGGCCCGGTGCGCACGGCACCCCTGCGGGGCCCGACCAAGGCCTGCCCCAGCCGCGATGAAGCATCCTGGCGCCGCCTCCTCCTCCTCCTCCTCCTTCTTCTTCTTCTTTCCTTATCCTCCTCCTCCTCCTCCTCCGCTTCTCCTCCTCTTCTCCTCTTCTCCTGCTCTCGTATTATCCTCTTCTCCTCTTCTCCTCTCCTCCTCCTCCCCCTCCTCCTCCTCCTGCTCCTCCTCCTCCGCCTCCTCCTCCCTCCCTCGAACTTGGGCGGAGGGGCCTGTTCTTGCTCCGCATCCTGCCAGACGCGTCAGAGCTGGCCTTGGACCCCGCGGAGACCTCGGGGGGGCCAGCACCGCGAGGGGCAGTGGGCAGCAGCACCAGGGGGGGGCAGGCGGCCTCCTCCTCCTCCTCCTCCTCCTCCTCCTCCTCCTCCTCCTCCTCCTCCTCCTCCTCCATTTCATCCTCCATCTCCTCCTCCTCCTCCTCCTCCTCCTCCCCTCCTCCTCCTCCTCCTCCTCCTCCATTTCATCCTCCTCCTCCTCCTCCATTTCATCCTCCTCCTCCTCCTCCTCCTCCTCCTCCTCCTCCTCCTCCTCCAGACCCCCCTGTATACGGGGGTGGAGGGGTGGGGCGTTCAGCACGAAGGAAAGGGCAAGGCAGGAGGATGGGGGGAGGGGGACAAAGGAGGGAGGACGAGAGAGGATGGAGGAGGGAGGCGGAGCGACGGCTGCTCCACTCAAAACAAGGACCGAGCCAAAGCAAAGCTGGGGCACAGATATTCCTCCCGTCTTCCGCCAACTCCGGGCCATCTTCAGTGCCTCCTCTGTTCTCCCATGTTCTCCCCTCCTCTCCACTGTTCCTCACTCTGGGGCGTACAGGCACAAAGCTGATGTCCTGCACTCCCTCTGGATCCAGCGGAATGGGCTCCCACGCAGAGCCAAGCCTTGACCCTGCCCTGGGCTGCCAGGCGTGAGCATGTCGCCCAGCACTGCGCCCCTCTGGGGCCCAGCCGAGCGGGCTCCCACACAGATCCCCCAAAACTCGGCCGCGCACCCCTGGGTGCTGCCAGACGTACCCCTGTCGCCGGCTCTCCCGACGCCCGAGGGGAGAGCGCAGCGAGGCGGCGAGGCGGACAGGTCCACACCGGCCCGTGCCCGTCCCATGCTGCCCACAACGAGGCTGCCGTCGCTCTCCGAGCACCGAGGCTTTACGCACGCGTGCCGCCTGTCCTGCGCCGATGTCTGCTAGAGGCCCCACACCCCCGAGTGCTGCCAGGCGCCGCGGGTGGGCCAGGTGGATCCCCTCCTCCTCCTCCTCCGCCTCCTCCGCCTTCTCCTCCGCCTCCTCCTCCTCCTCCTCCTCCTCCTCCTCCTCCTCCTCCTCTCCTCCTCCTCCTCCTCCTCCTCCTCCTCCTCCTCCTCCTCCTCCTCGTCCTCCTGGGCAAGCTTCATCGGCGGTGCGGCCAGGCGTGCCGACCGGACCTATGGCCGCTGCAGCACTGTACAGCGCCGACTCCAGGCGGTCGCGCAAGCACAGCAGACGCCGGCCTAGAGCAGAGATGACGCTGCCCAGCCCCGAGGATCAACCGCCCAAAGGTTGAAATGATGAGGACTCCCTTGGTCAGGCTTCGGGTTGCGCGCAGACAGCCCCCCCCCCACCCCAGGTAGTCCAGGCTGTCTGCGGCAAGCCGAAGCCTTGTGGACCAGATAAAAAAACGACGCCACCCTACCTACGGCCCCAGGGGGCTTAGCATATACCAGGAAATCTGGCGTGGGTTTTTTGCGTGGTATACGCTACATGCGGCGCCCGCTGGGCCGTAGCGCAACATGGAGGGCCGTAATTAGGTGGGGTGGTGTTGTTTTTATTTCTGGTCGACCTCACAAACTCGCCTCAAGCATTAGAACAAAAAAAACGCCATAATATAAACTTTTGGCGCTCCGCGCGGATTTCTTGGATCTGCGCCGGACTCCCCTCCCTGGCGCGCGGAGAGCGCGCCAGGGGCGGTGCCGGAGGCGCCGCCAGGGGGCCCCAGGCGCCAATCCAAGAAATCCGTGCGGAGCGCCAAAAGTTTATGTTTATGGCGTATTTTCTTCTTTTTTGGTCGACCTTACAAGCTCCCCTCAAACATGACACTTTTTCGCGAGGGCTCGGTTGGCATCAGCCTCGCCCTGAGCTCAGGGGATCGCTCCCCCGAGCTCTCGGCACAAGATCCGGACGCCCAGCCGCATCTCCACCTCGCGGACCTCCGCCCGGAACCGCCGCACGGCGGCCTCGTACAGCGCCCGGTCCTCCCCGGTGAGGTCGTCGACTGCCTCCAGGAGAGCAAAAACTGCATGAACACAGGTATAGATAGGGGGAAAACAAACCTACCTCGCTTTTGACCACCCTCGCTTCCAAGAGATACCAAACGATGCCAAATTGAAGCCTGTACTGGTCAGGCCGCTTGACGGGGAGGCGCGTGGTATGGCTTGGTTTTGCCTGGAAGCGAAAGCGGGGGAGGTAATTCACGCTCTGTATAGAGTAAGCCAGCCCACAAGAAACCTTCCACAAGAAGCCCGACGCAGAGGCCCCAGGACGTCCATGGATGTCTGGCGTGGGCGCGCCACGCTCGGCGTGACAAGACCATCGAAACCCAAGAAGCCCAGGGCACCCTGGAGGGAAGCAGGGTGTTTCTTGGCATGGGCCCCCACTGTAGGTAAACACTCGGAGGTCCGAGCGGCTTTCTTGGATCGGCGCTGGCCCCCCCCCCCCCGGGAGCGCTCCGCGCGCCAGGGGGCGGCACCGGAGGCGCCGCCAGTGGGATCCAGCGCCGCTCTGAGTCATCCGCGCGGCCCTTCGAAAGAGTGCGCTCTTATGTATACAGTCGGACCTGGGCCCGAAGAGCATCACTCAAGAACATGAGACCCAATCAAAGACTCAACTGTACGATACCAAACTCTCTCGCGACGTGTCTTGGGTGCACCTGGCCCGATTGAGCGTGCTGCAGTCGAGGAATCTCCCTCTCGACGCCCTCGTCGGCCCAAACAAGCAGAACGTCCACAAGAGCACCCTCCCCGGGGTGCACAGGAACATCCAACGGAACACACGGAGAACAGCCGGGCACCCGCACCCCCTTCCGAAACGACCTCGATCTTACGCCTCGGTGCGACTGCATGCCTAGGTATAGGCGACGAGACGACGACGACGGCGACGACGGCGATGACGACGACGACGACGACGACGACGACGACGACGACGACGACGGCGGCGGCGGTGACGGCGGCGGCGGCGGCGGCGACGGCGACGACGACGGCGACGACGCCGACGACGACGACGACGTCGCTTCTTCTCCGACTGCCTCGAGGACCTCCGGCGGGTAGTCCTCCCAGCGAGGGCTCGCCGCGCCCGGCGCCCGGTGCGTGAGGCGGTGGCCCCGGAAGGAGCGCCACCGCGCTCCGTCGGAGCAGTTGCAGTTGATGGGCCGGTTTTCCACCACCACCACCACCATAAGTTGGAGGGGGAGGGGGGCCTCCTCCTCCTCCTCCTCCTCCTCCTCCTCCTCCTCCTCCTCCTCCTCGTGCTCCTCGTCCTCCTCGTGCTCCTCCTCCTCCTCCTCCTCCTCCTTCTCCTCCTCCTTCCCCCTCACACTTATGGTAGTGGTGGTGGAAAACAGGCCCATCAGCAGTGGTCGGCCACCGACCCCCGCACCAGCGCCTGCAGTAGGCAGACCGACTCCTGGTACGCTTCCACCAGGCCGACAAACTCTACCTCTCTAGCGGAAGAAAAAAACTGCATAAGCATAAATTTTTGGCGCTCCGCGCGGGTTTCTTGGCTCTGCGCCAGACCCCCTCCCTGGCGCGCTCCGCGCGCCAGGGGCGCCGCCGGAGGCGCCGCCCGGCGGGGGCCCAGGCGCCGATCCAAGAAATGCGCGCGGAGCGCCAAAAATATATGGTTATAGCGTTTTTCCTTCTTCGACTCTAGCATGCTCCGGATGGCGGCCTCGGCGTCGATCGTGACGGGGTAGGCCATGGGCTGCGCTGCACATCCGGGGGGGGCCTTGCCTGTCCTGGAGAAGGGCGGCCATTTCTTGGAGATTCGACGCGGATTCCGCGTGGAGTCGGCGCGGGCTCGACGCCGATCCGACGCTGTCACTGATGCGACGGGCCAGACAGAGGCTCCCCGAAGATGCAGCACAGCATGGGCTCCTCGCAGGTCAGGCGCTGGCTCTGGAGGCTCAGCGGCCGGAAGCACATGAAAGGGTGGCCTCGGGGATCTACAGACCCGGGTCAACCCAGACCTGGGTCAGTCAGGCTTTGCAGGATCCCGAAGGATCCTGCACCCCAGCCTGGGTCTATGCAACCCTGGCTCGGCAGGATCCTGCAAGATCCGGCGCTCTGACTGACCTCCGTTTGCATTGCCCCCATCTCTTGAGCCCCGATGGCCCTCCAGGGGCTTCCCCCCGGCCGGCGGGGAGAAGTCACCCGCGCCCTGAGCCCTCAGCCGCAGGCTCTGCCAGGCGCGCACCCACTCCCCGAAGCTCTGCGGCAGGGCGCTCCAGCCGTACGAGTGGTCGCCAGAGACCTTGCAGTGGACGTACTGGGCAGAAGAAGAACCACCAGCACAGCTGCACTCTGGGTGGGACAATAATCGCCGCCCCCCCCCCCTTCGTAAATCCGCTGGGGGGGTTGGGCACGTGCTGTCGAAACGGGTGGAGGGGGTGTTGGAGGAGGGAGGAGGGGGGGTGGAGGAGGAGTAGGAGGAGGAGGAGGAGGCGGCGGTGAAGGAGGAGGAGGAGGAGGAGAAGGCGGAGGAGGAGGAGGAGGTGGCGGAGGAGGAGAAGGAGGCGGATGATGATGATGATGATGATGATGATGATGATGATGATGATGATGATGATGATGATGATGATGATATGATGATGATGATGATGATGATGATGATGATGATTGATGATGATGATGATGATGCTGATGATGATGATGATGATGATGCTGATGGTGATGATGATGATGATGATGATGATGATGATGAAGATGAAGATGATGATGATGATGAGATGATGATGATGATGATGATGATGATGATGATGATGATGATGATGATGATGATGATGATGATGCTGATGATGATGATGATGATGATGATGATGATGACGCTGATGATGATGATGAGGCGGAGGAGGAGGAGGAGGAGGAGGAGGAGCAGGCGGGGAGCGGAGGGCACGCGGGGAGCAAGCCAAAGAGGCGCCGAACACACAGAGGCGTCCAGCGCCGGCCCAAGAAGAAAACGCGCGGACCCCCGAAAGTTCACCCCATGAAGCTGGAAACACATGCGTGTGTTGTATATAAGCATCCATCCATCCATCCATCCATCCATCCATCCATCCATACATGCATGCATGCATGCATGCATGCATGCATGCATGCATGCATGCACGCACGCACGCACGCACGCACGCACGCATGCATGCATGCATACATACATACATACATACATACATACATACATACATACATACATACATACATATATACATCCGTACGTACGTACGTACATACATACATACACACAGACGCACATACCTATACATATATATATGTGTGTATATATACATATATATATGTGTGTATACACACACTTGTTTTCTCTTCGCGGCGCGGCAGAGGCGATCCTCTCGCGCGCTCTTGCAGCGGCTGGGGCAGAGCAGACTGCTTACTGATTGTTCGGCAGCAAAAGAGAGAGAGAGAGAGAGAGAGAGAGAGAGCGAGAGCGAGAGAGAGACAGGGCAGAGAGCGGCCGCGGAGCAGGAAAGAAGAGGGGGAAGGCACTCACAGCACGAATGTCTTCGGCGTGAGCGGCTGGTCGCACACACACACACCGGCGAAGAGTCCCTGCAACGTGTACTAAGTCGGGCGTGTCCCCCTGCAGGGGGATTTTCGACGAAAATCAAGGATACTCAAACAAATACCCCAAAATGGTCAAAACATGCTCAAAAAATACTCCCCGGACTATTTTTTGACTATTTCTGAATTTCCCCCTGTAGAGGGACAGGCCCGACTTCAAACGTGGGACATCCCGACGCCACGCGCTGGGCACACGTCCGGAAGCCCGGCCCTTCTCCTGCGGCCCATCGGAGGGCCGCGCGCCGCGAAAGACCACCGGCGAGCTGGCCGCACGTGGCCGCATTGTGCATCCAGCTCTCGGCCGCACGGGTACGCAGCTTCCTGGGCTGTGGCAGGATGGCCTGCCCTCCTCCTCCTCCTCCTCCTCCTCCTCCTCCTCCTCCTCCACCTCGCTCCTCGCTTCTCCTCCTCGCTCCTCCTCGCTCCTCCTCCTCCTCCTCCTCCTCCTCCTCCTCCTCCTCCTCCTTCCTCCTTCCTCCTTCCTCCTTCCTCCTTCCTCCTCCTCTCCTTCCTCCTTCTCTCCCTCCTCCCTCCTCCTCCTCCTTCCTCCTTCCTGCTTCCTGCTTCCTCCTTCCTGCTTCCGCCTTCCTCCTTCCTCATCCCTCCTTCCTCCTTCCTCCTTCTTCTTCCTCCTCCTCCTCCTTCCGCGCGAAACCCCGAATCTGAGCATGCTGACGTCTCACTTTCACTTCCGCCGCCTCCCCTAGGCCCACCCGCCCGCGGAGCCGCCCCAGCTTTTCCTTCCAGTATCCTCCGCCGGGCCTGCCACCGGGGAGGAGATGCCAACTCCCTCCACCCCCCGAGGGCGATGGAGAGATGCCCCAGCTCCCTCCGTCCCTCGAGGGCGACGATGCCCTCTCTGGAACGCCCCGTCTGTGTCCAGCGACGAGCGTCCAGGCCCTCTCTCCTCCGGGATCCGCTTCCTTCGGAGGAGCCGAGCGCTGGAGAGAGACACCCCGCCACATGTGCGTCCAGCCCTCGCCCAGGCGGGCCAGCCGCGTCATGTGCATCCAACTTCCCAAAAACATCCCCAGAGATCCGATGTCGTGATTTTTCAATACGGGGTCCCCGGAAGTCTCGACCCACTCCCCAGGACTGGCTTTTCATCCTGCGTCGTTTTTGACGGTCCCGGGGCCTGGCGAGGGCCGCTAGAGGCCGAAAATCGATAAAACCTCCGTCTTGATTTTTTCAATACGTTGGGGGCCTGGGTCTGAAGATCTGCCTTTTTAACTGCGCGGCCCCAAGAGGTTCCGACCCCTTCCCCAGGGCCACTGTTTCGCCCCGGGCTCCATCTTCGACAGCGCCGGGGCCCCCGAAAACGGCCCCCAGACGCCGGCATCGAGGAAACACGCACGGATTTAAAGACAAACAAATGTTTGCCAGCGTGGACGCAAACAGCGAGCTGCTGCTCTGTGGATGTGTCAATGTAATGTGACCTATAAGGTGTGAATTAAGTGGTGTGAGCTGCGAGGTGTAAGCTATGCGGCGCAACATACGTGGTGCAAACTATTATGTGTGAGCTATGCGGTGCAAGCTACGTTGTGCAACATATGAGGTATGAGTTATAGGGTATCAGCTACGCGGTGCACTGAGTGTGATGCAATATATGTGGGGTGAGCTATGTGGTGTAAGCTATGTGGTCCGATCCGAGTGATGCAATCTATTATGTGCCATATGTGTGCTGTGAGCTATGTAGTGTAAGCCATGTGGTGCAGTCTGTAGGGTGTAAGCTATGGTATGTGAGCGCTACGCGGTGCAAGCTGTGTGGCGCAACAGATGTGGTATGAGCTGCGGGTGCAAGCTACGTGGTGCAGTCGACGTGGTGTGAGTTAATGTCGTGTGCGCACGGTGCGCCCACGAGGCGCCCGCGGGCGGCAGCGTGGCGAAATCTCAGCGGACCCGCCCCGCGCGCGGGGCGGCCGCGAGGCGGCCGTGGGCGGCGACGCGGCGAACCTCCGCCGCGCCCACCCCCGCGCGCGGGGCGGCCACGGGGCGGCCATGGGGCGGCAGCGCGGCGACCTCTCGCCGCACCCACCCCGCGCACGAGGCGGCCACGAGGCAGCCATGGGCGGCAGCGCGGAAAAGCCTCGCTGGACCGGCCCATCCAGCTCTTTGCTCAGCAGTGACAGAAGCAAGGACCCCGCAGTGCAAGCACTGTCTGGGGAATCTGGTCGGAGGCCTGGGTTCCTGGCACAGTGGGGGCCCGCCCACAAGAAACCTTCCACAAGAAACCCAACCCTGAGACCCCAGGACGTCCGTGGGTTTGGGGCGTGGAAGCGTCACGCTTTCCATCGCGAAACCATCGAAACGCAAGAAACCCAGGGCACCCTGGAGGCAAGCAAGGTGTTTCTTGGCATGGGTCTCCACTGCTCATTTCTGCTGGCTGCTTTCTCCTTCGGCATGGGAGAGCACGTGTGCGCGCGGCCTCCGCAGCAGAAGCACGGTGCCGCCCGCCAGCGGGCCGCGGTCCCGCCACGAGAAGCAGCCCTGGGACGAGTACAGCGGAGAGCCAGCGTGCTCCAAGACGATCGGGCGACGTCAGCCGACCACCTCTCGAGGATCGGGGAAGGAGGCTCTGGACGGACAGTAGGTACGTACGATGAGGTGTAACTCGCTCCGCCGTCGAGCTTTGAGCCTCCTGAGGTGCCCCCATGGGGTTCTGTGAGTTCCCAGGGCCCTCGAGGGACACGAAACTTCCGCGGGGCACTTGCCAGCAGCGCGACTTCTGCTTTGACGCGTCCACCACTGCATTGCGACTGTGGCCAGCCTCAAAGAAGCGCGTGGCCGCCACGGCAAGATCTGCCCCTGGCCCATCACGAGGGGCTCTCGGTCACCCGACGCCGCGCCCTCGCGCCCCGCGGTGCGCAGATCGTCGTCGCACCCTCGCGCCCCCGCGCCGCGCCCCTCGGAGATGGGCAGACGCTCTGGCCCAGGCCCAGAACGCGAGGCGCGACCCCCGCCGCACCCCCCCGCGGGCGACCGCGGCGCATGCGCCCTCCCTGTGGGCCTGGCCAGGCGGGCGCACCCGCCGCTGGCCCAGCGTCGGACGCCTGGCCAACGGTCGGCGGCGGGGAGCACAGCGACAGCATGGGGCAGCGCTGGGCTCCGAGGGAGCGGCTTCGGCGCCACCGGAGCAGCCTCGCTGCCACCGGAGCCGCCCGAGCACTGACCCGACCCATCCGCCGCAGCACCTGCGCCTCGGGGCCTCCGGGAGGCGGCTCCGCCCGCGGAGGGAGGAGGGAGGAGGGAGGAGGGAGGAGGGAGGAGGGAGGGAGGAGGGAGGAGGGAGGAGGGAGGAGGGAGGAGGAAGGAGGGAGGAGGGAGGAAGGATCACCCCGGGGCCTCGGCCAGCCCGCGCGCGGGCCAGAGCCTCATTCCCGATCCCGCGGCGAGGGGGTCGGCCCACGGCCGCCCGGAGAAGAGGGGCGCGGCGTCCAGGTAGACGCGGGGCGGCAGCGCCCGGGGCCGCGCACGCGGGCAGCCCCCGGAGGCCCGAAGAGCACGCCCCGCCTCGGCGAGGCCCCGGGCGGCCGCGCCCCTCGGGCGCGGCCAGGGCCTGCGCCAAAGGGGGGCTTGCCGAGGCCGGCCCCCGGGCCGGCCCTGCAGGTGCAGGGGCCTGCCCAGGCCAGCTCTGGGACGTGCGCCCGCCTCCTGCGGAGGCATCCCGACGTGGGGTCGGGGGACCACGCCGCATCGCGGATGCATCGGCGATGCCCCCGCGATGCATCGGCTGCGTCGGCGATGCGTCGGCGCCGCTGGCGCGGAGAACGTGGGGGACCTGCGCAGCCCCGAGGCCCTGCCGCGAAGGAGTCGCCCGCCGCCTTGGGGACGTGGAGGTAGTACGCCGACCTGAGGGGGAAGGAGAGAGGAGGGAGGAGGGAGGAGGGGGGAAGGGAGGAGGAGGGAGGAGGGAGGAGT